TACAGCTTGACTCTTTATATGCAGAAAGATTACGTCTAAATGCACGCACAAAGACTAGAAATCAAACTTCTCTCTCCCTCACCTCCGCTCTTCCACCAACTCTCTTTCTCTCTCTCTCACTCACTCACTCAATCTCTCTCTCTCTCTCTCTCTTTCTCTCTCTCTCTCTCTCTCTCTCTCTCTCTCTCTCTCTCTCTCTCTCTCTCTCTCTCTCTCTCTCTCTCTCTCTCTCTCTCTCTCTCTCCATAGCCTATCAAGGGAAACGCCGAAAACTTGAAGGCATACAGAATGAAGCTATGCGAATAATCCTTGGGTGTTCAAGAAAAAAAACTAGAAGAGATATAATGACATCAAAGACAGGATTGCAAAGCATTGAACAGAGAGTGAGCGAGATGAATGCAATCGCGGCCATCAAGAAATTAGGGAGAAATTAGGGTCAGCGGTTTTAATAACATAATACCATGTTATAGGCAAGGCAAGCGACGATATATGAAGGAATTTAGGGAGTTTTAAGCCTGAACTTGACGAAATAATGAGAAATTCTCGAAGGAATTACTTTAATGAAAAAGTTTTGTACTGGGCGGGCGAGCGGGCGTCGTACAACTCCAAGTTAAACGATTTTGTCCGGTACATAGTATTTGTTCATATTTAATCTCATGGATAAGGAGATCTAGATAACAAGTTAAAGATGCACCCCCCCCCCCCCGACAAAAAAGGGCCTTTTTATAAATGTTGGCTGAATAACGAATGCATCACATGTGCTTGGCATATACTCTAGAGAAAGGCAAGTAATAATGTGGCTGTTCGTTCCGTTGTGTCTCTGACGTCATCCCTAGTTTTACTATTTTAGGAGAGAGAGTCTAGTGCCCTGTTCTCGTGATCTCTCTCGTCTCACACACCAGAAAAGCCATGTGTTCCTTATCTCAAATGAAGAATATACCTGCTGTTCAGTGGACTAGAGAATATTTCAAGTGAAAATTCTGAAGAGATAAAATAATGATGCAGAGAAACAAAACAAAAATAATAATCATTTGTAAAAAAAAAAAGAAAATACGGCAATCGGCGCTCTGGCAACGCCCATTAACTTCTCTTCGTATATTTGAAAGTCTAACATTGATATATTACAAACTAAAACGCTCTATACCATAGCACAGATTAATTCAAATAACATCTTTTTGTGATCTTTCAATAGCGGAAGAAACAGCCATTTATCGTTTTCATTATCTCAGCGTTGCAACCTTCTGTTCATTCAGCTGACCACAAATGTAACGCTGATTATGCCATGATTGGAAACATAATCTCATTTTTCTGATTATCATAGTTTAAAATACGACAACAGCTAAGGCCATTTGCTGCCAAATCACTTGAAGGAAAATTGAAATGTGGGAAGAAAAGACTTGTTTCTTACTGCGTGTCATACATCACATACTGACAGTGTGAGGCATCCTTAAGAATATACGTATCATTCATTCATTTCATTTAGTGATTGTATCATCTAACTAGGAGATCCCTGTTTTTTCCCCTTTTCAGTAACTTTTTTTTCGCTGTACATATGCTGAATTATGTTATTCACTGTTTATCATTAATTTCGCTATCATTATCATTACTATTAACATTATCATCATTATCACCAGCAGCAGCATTATAATAATAACAATGATTATGATAATAATAGTAATAGTAACAGTAATGATAATATAGTGACGACAGTAACAATAATTTTTTTTTTTTTTTTTACTATTTTTATTATCATTATTATTATTGTTACTATTATTATTATTATTATTATTATCATTATTATTATTATTACTATTATTATTATTATTACAATCAACATCTTTGTGTCATTACCTTTTGTAACATTTCCGAAACCCCGAACACTCATATACGTTTGCCCTTGACGCATACGTTACTGGACACTGTTGAACTGTTTCCGTTTGTATAATATAAGTTTTTTTATTATTATTATTATTGTAAATGTGTATAAAATGTTTCTGTGCCTTTTTAGCAGTGCATTCAAATATATGTTCACTCTATATGGCTAAGATCTGCAGTTAATCATGACGGTCGCTGGAACGACATGGTAAGAATTTCCAACGTGTCACAGTCATATGACGTGGTATTGGTTTCCGGGGGATGAATGTCTTCATAATAATTCTGTACGTCAATGATGTAACAAAACAAATTAAAAAATATCGAAGAAAATTCTGTGTGTCCGGGATACTCACATCGTACTTTCCACATCGTACCTTCTCCTTACTATATTGCAGTGGTCTTCATTGCGCGGCTCGCGAGCCAGTGGCGGCTCGCCAAGACCTGAGTGGCGGCTCGCAAAACAAAGAGAGAGAGAGAAAGAGAGAGAGAGAGAAATGACGCTCCTTCCGCACAGCAACTGTACGTGTAGGTTACGTAAAATCCAGTGCTCGGCGACCCTTACTTTGCCAGTATCAAAAATATGTAAAAAATATGTAATTTAGTTTCTGTACATATTTTGTTCTGCTAATACTAATCCTTGTAGCTTACGAGGCATGTGGCTCTCAATCTGAATATGCCCTGAACTTTTGGCTCTCTTGAAAAAATTAGTGAATAACACTGCTATATTGTAACCCACCCATACTCAAAAAAAGTTTTACAGTTCAAGGTCCGTGTTTACATTGTAAATTAATTCCATTGGCTACCAAGAAAGGGCAGATACCAAGGGTTCCCGATTTAGGAGTCTTTCACGCTGCAATGCTCGACCATGATAAGCAACCACCAAAACTTTGTTTGGCGTCTGTCAACTCAATTTACATTAAACTTATATTTGATTCGAAAACAAAGAAAATACTAGACAATTAAAATTCCCTGGTATTAAAAATGGAAAAGGCTTATTATAGTCAAGTAAAGGTTTCTGTCGACTAAGTGATCGGGAAATAAACCGGACTGTATCCGGTTTCAAACGAGAGACTCGGGGTAGTTGGGACCCACAAGGTACTTTACAATGTGTGACGTCATAACATGGCGGCTGATTTTGTTTCGAGTATAGCCTTCGGAGGCCTTACGACGCTGTAACGGCTCCGTGGCGAGATACAACACTGTAAACTGTTTTGAGTACCCGCCAGGATGCTCTCGTTACTACATTTTTGTAAACCCCCATATTCATTGACTACCAAAAAGGGCAGATCGTTAGTCGATTGACCAATCAGCAGTCAGCCTGCTAGACGTAACAACCAATAGAAAGCCATGGCTGTCTTATTGCCACGCCTCCAACGGTCACTAACACCAGCGATATTTTTGACTCAGCCAAGTGTTGTAATATAAATTAACTATGATGAATTTCCCAGAATAACTCTACCTTTCATAGTACAAGTTCTATAAACAAAGTGAAAATGATAATACGCAGCAATCACCTTCAGGCAAAAAAATAAGATATAAAATACATCGTTCTTTCCTATAGTTTTAACAGTGTGTTTATGAAGTCACATGTAACATATTACATACATTCTTTTCGGAAACATAAAGCAAAAAATCCTAATTTCATGCGAAAGTAAATGGCTGTAAACATACATACGGAAGAGTAACTGCTCATCGAGATAATATTTCTTAAAAGGATTATTTAGTTGGGTATTTGGCAACAAAGGAGGTTATAGTAAAACACATCTAAGGCATCTCTGATATCGCAGTAAATTTTTATCCTCTTCATTGATAGAAACTAATGATTCCCTATAATGATGTCTTTCACGCTGCATTGAGGATTGTTTAGTAGGATATTTGGCATCAAATAGTAAAACAAGTCTAAGAAATCTGTAACATCGCAATAAATGCTTATCCTCTTAATTGAGAGACACTAATGATTCCCTATAATAATGTCTTTCATGTTCGATCATGAAGATGAGTAGCCAACAAAACACTATTGTTTATCGTCTGTTAACTCAATTTACAGTCAATATACTAGACCACTGAAGTTCCCCGGTATTAAACATGGAAAGGCATGCGTCGTACTCGCTTCTCAATTTATTGGAATGCGGTCAAACCTGTAATCAATACATAATCAATACTAGAAAAGCACTCAGAGAGTGCAGACCTCCGCCAAGGTGCGTATATAATATATATACTTTGACTGCGTCCAGACGGTAATTCGGAATGTCACCAAAATTTAATCTGTTCTAAGTTTGTCCCTTTCTGACTCTTTGAGCTACGCTGCTAACAAACAAACCAACAAACCAACGCCGTTAAAAACATAACCTCCTTGGCGGAGGTAACAATATCAATCATAAATGAATACAATAATAATCGTTACAATTCGACTTAGATTTACTAACAAGATTATATCAGTACTTATAATATTACATTTTACTGTTTGCTAAGAATGTCACTATACCCTACTACTTAGGTAAGCAACAACATACACAGACACTAATATATATCTATACATGAATGTATATGATACACACACATAGCGGGAAAAGTCAAGGCCTTTAACAGAAGTCCTCAGATCGGTCCTTATGTACGTGTTGTCGAACCAGTATTCACTTGACAGTAAACTAATGATTCCCTATAATAATGTCTTTCACGCTGCAATGCGCGGTCATGATAATGAGCAACCA